CAAGGATGGAAACTTGTCATTTCGTTAAACCTTGGGTGGGAACATGTCGTTTACTCTAATAAAAAATACTAAAATTGTCGAATGTCTATATAATTCCTTACCTGAGATCTTACCTCAGAAACTCTATACGGTATATAACTATAAATATAATCATAGTAAAAATGCTTATGGAATCAACATAGTGTTGTTGAATGAAAAAACACTAAGCTTTACTGAAAGCATAAATTTAAAAACTTCTCAGCTTCTCCTATTTTTTTCCTATAAAAAAAGAGTATGGACCAAATTCTTAATAAAATAGCAAATTTATATTTAATTTGTTTACATCTATAAAAATTAATACTTTTAATAGCATTTTTCTATTGACAGAATAAGCTTTACTTGCATATTACAGATTACTCAACCATCCTCAATTTTGCATAATCCAATTGCTTTATAAGCTTGATTGAATTGAACAGTCTTCTGGTAAGATAATTCAAAAATTTATCTTATGTCGAAATAATAAGATGACTGAACAATCAAGAAACAATTGATATGAAAAACCACCACTAAATATATCAAGTTCAGATACTGGATTGAATAAGCAACCACAAAAGATTCTTAAACTTTTATTTAATAAAAATAATCATAAAAAACTGCCCTATTACGGCTATAATAGGCTTTTTATAGTTTGCCCTAATAAAAAAAATCAAAGAAAAAGAACATTAAACAATAAAAAAAAACCAAGAAAAAGAACATTAAACAATTATCACAAAAAGGTCCCAAAACATACAAAAAGTTGCAGATAAATCCAAAAAAACTCTAGAAGTTTGCAAACATAAGAAAAAGGCCTAAAAACCCATCTAAATGATTCCGAAAGACTAAAAAACGATAAAACTCATGATTGCCACAAGCCTAACTTATTTGATCGTTTCGGAGTGCCACGCCAAAATTCATCGCATTCTGACATCGTCAGCACTATTTAACACTGTTCACTATTCATCACTGTTTATATGACACTGTTCATTAATGCATCATTATCCCTTAACTTTGTGGCTGCAAACCAAATCAAATCAGATTTACACTGAGAAATTATCTAAACATTTTATTTCTGTCATAAAAAGATGCCCAAAACTCATGATTGCCACAAGCCTAACTTATTTGACCGTNAAGAACTTAGGAACTAGTAGGTGGTATTGAATATTGGATGCTTTATGAAAGGCAAGGCCTCTCTTTATATAGTGCTCATAGGATCTTTGAATCCTAGTAGCACTCTAAGTCGATAATGGTAGAGTTCTACTGAATAGGAAGTTCCTAATTTACTTGCCTTTGAAGGAGTTAGAGTCCTAATTCACATAAGATTCAGGATCTTCGGTGAATTAGGATAAAGATAGAATAAGAAATAGATGTATTAGGGTTTGAGTAGGACTCTAGTCCCAGTAGATATCATGGGCCAATGGGCCTAGACTTGGATAGGCTAATGATGAAGCTCAATCTGAGTGACCTAATCCAGAGAGAAGCTAGGTTGGTGTCATGGGTTTGGCCCGTGACATGAACCTTTTCATAGGCCCAACCGAAATTAGGCCATGGCCTTGGGCCATATAGTGGCCATATAGTAGATGTATTAGGCTTAAGACAATTTTTGGCCCATACAAAAGCTTATTCTTATAATTCAATACATTAGTAAGATAACAGTGGATGTGAGCTTGAAGAGTTTAGCTCACCTAACCACTTTAAAAGCTTTTGTGCATTTAATTTGATTAGTTTTGTCAATTTACTTGCTGATTATTTATAATCACATGATCATCTTTTTCGATTCCATCAAGGTCAATCAGATACCTTTGGTTGTTGCGAGATTTCGTAACAACAAAGACGTTAAAGTTTAAACTTTGGAAATGTGGATCAAAGAGAGTAAATATAATTTTTAATTGGTGAAATTGATATATTATAAGCAAGGTTTTCAAACCCAGACCAGACTGGTCGATTTAATTGGTTCGACCGGGAACTAGCCACAACTTCAATCCAGTTGTATAATAAACCTATTAATAGATTAAAAACCGTTTTGGACTACAATCAAACTGAAAAATAGTGACAAACCATCGGTCCGTGATCCCAACTGGGTCCCTAACTATTTGCAAATCTAAACCCTAGAAAGAAGTTTAAAAATACCCACTTCCAAATTTGCATTCACTTCTTTATTTCAATCGAGATATTTTCTTCCTTCGCTACACAAAAACTTGAAATTGCATACATTCATCTTCATTCTTCAATCTCCCTGCATTTGCATCCTTCAAATTACATCTCCAATTGCATTCGCATCTTCAATCACATTCAAACCCAGTTGAACTTTATCAGCAAACTTGTAGTCTTGTACTTCTTCATGCCTAAGCTGAACTTCACCGATTTGTGCTGTACTTCTTCAAACGGTTGATTCTTTTTTCCCTGTTTGGTTTTGTAGTTGTAATAATGTTGTATATGATGAAGAATAATGTGGGATTAATTTAATAGTATTCTATTTGATGCTTTGTGGAATGTAAAGATTGATGAAAGAAACAAAAATGGGGTTTTGGTGGAAAAGCATGTTGTGGCTCAACCAAAAGCGAAGAAAAGTATGGTGGAGGGGAAGGAGAAAAGAAGGAAGAGGATGAAGTGAAGAAGTTAGAGACGACGAATAGATGAAGGAAGAAGAAAGAAAAAACTTACAAAAGAGAGAGGGGAAATTGGAAAGTAATAGAAGAAAGAAGAAAAGTGACAGAGAAAGAGGAAAAAAATAAAAGTAAAGAAGTTGTAAGGGTGTTTTCGCTGGATTTTAAACCTCCAAGGATTGATTGAGGATTTTTTGGGGTGTGTTTGCTGGATTTTAAACTTGTAGGACCTGATGGTAATCACCGGTCGGACCGACCTTCCAACCGGTAGGATCGGTCAACCCAAGACCTGGCCAGCTGACTGAGTCATTGAATGGTTCGGGCTTTAGAAGATTGATTATAAGTAATTTTCAATTTCATTCCACCTCAAGTGGCCATGATCTCTAGGCATGTAGCCACATAGTGAATTGTGGGTTCAATTGAACCCACTCAACTTTCAAAACTTTAAAAAAAGTATTAATTCTTCATAGATTTTGCAATTTTATCCTCATTTAACTTCATGTTGACCCCATAAAATAAATTATTAATTAATACTTTTTAAACTTTTCTCTCTTCTTCATTTCCTCTCCTTTTCTATCATATAATATTTTTATTGATAATTGTTCTATAACATTTTAACAATGTTAAGGAAAACTTGTCTACAACATTTTAAAAATGTTATAGATTACAAATCTATAAGATTTTAAGAATGTTACAAAAGAATAAAGCTATAACACTTTAAGAATGTTATGGAAAACTAATTGATAAAATTTACAAAGTGTTAGCTAAAATCATCTGTAACTACAAACAAGTGTTATAATATACTCAACAATAAAATTTAAATAATTATTAATAACATGCAAAAAGTGATACCAAAGCCTTATACCAAAGCCTCATTTTTTTAGTATCATGGGCTGTAACAGCATGCTAAAAAAATCCTACCATGTTACCGTAGAACAATTTTGTTGTAATGTTTGGATACTTATATTGTTGACCATGCTATAATAATGATTTTTTGACATTAAATGAAATTGATGCTCTTGCTAAAAAGTTGGTTTAAACAAAGAAAAACGTGGTATATCACTTGGTTTATTTATTTGTGAAATTAGCATTGATATTAACTATTGCAATTGCAAGTGTTGAAAGAGCATTTTCTATGCTAAAGATTGTGAAAAATCAACTATAGAATCGAATGCGAGATCAATTATTAAATGATTGTCTTATTACATATATTGAGTGAGAGATATTTGATGAAATTGTCAATAAAACAATTATGCAATGTTTTCAGAATATGAAAAATCATCGAGGACAATTGTAGAATTGATAATTTGATATATATAACTTTTAAAAGTACAATTTTTTATGCTTATTATTTTAATATATATTTTATTATAAATTTATCAACTTTGATGTTTTGAACCCATTAACTCAGAATCCTGACTACGTCCCTATGATCCTCCTAGGCCATGGACCATGTCATGGTCCCCATGCTTGGATATGGACGCTGAATGCGTCGACACTTGACATATTATATTATGGATGTAGGCGTCAATGCAGGAATGTCAACCCTTAAGCTTAGTAGAAGCCTTAAACAACCACCTCCCACGGAAAGTCCGTGGCTCCTTTGTTATTCAGCTTCATCACCTTCCATGTCCACTTAGACATATTATATTATGCATTATTACAGGGAGAACGACATTTTCCCACCCAAGGTTTGGCAAAACAATACTTTTTCACCTGTCAAGTTTCAAAATGACACTTTCCCACCTTTCATCAGGTTTTGTTATGTTTTTTGTTAATATTTTACTGAAATAACAAAAATACCCTTAAACAATTATTTCTTAACTAGTTTATTATAAATTAAAATTTAGTTAAGTCAAAATCTTTACTTGATTATTTATTAGTTCAAGTGTAAAGATATTTTTTTTCTTTGTTTATTTAATTAATTAGGAATATTGATTTTCTATATTAATTAGTAAAAATGAAAATCATTATATTATGAAAAACATTATAAATTTAGTAGATTATTGAATAATAGTGATGGAATATTGATGACATTATAAATAAATAAATAAATATTAAAATCATTTATTTTTAAACAGTTCTATAGCATTATTCCTAAATTTTTAGGTGGGGTTAACTATTTTTTCTTTTTTGACTTTTTAATAGTTAACTTTTTGGCTAATTAAAAAATAATAAAAATTTTATAAAGTCAAATATTTAAGGGTATTTTCGTCTTTTCAGTAATATATTAACGGGAAATATAATTGAACCTAACAAATAGTGGAAAGTGTCATTTTGAAACTTGAAGTGTGGGAAAGTGTCGTTTCACCAAACCTTGGGTGGGAAAATGTTATTCTCCCATTATTATACGATAATTATGGATAAATTTGGTAGCACATGGACTGGCACATGAGAAATCCTGTATAATTAAGGGAAAATGAAATCTTCCAACCCATGGTTTGGCGAAACGACACCTTCCCACCATTCAAGCTTCAAAATGACATTTTCCCACCCTTTATTAGATTCTGTTATCTTTTCTGTTAACATTTTACAGAAAAGATGAAAATACCCTTAAATATTTAACTTTATAAATTTTTTGTTATTTTTAAATTAGTCAAAAAGTCAAATATTAAAAAGTCAAAAAAAAAAACAGTTAACCTCACTTAAAAAGTTATGAGTAATACTATGAAATTGTTTAAAGTTAAATGACCTTAATATTTATTTATAATGTCATCAATATCTCATCACTATTATTCAATAATCTACTAAATTTATAATGTTTTTTAAACTTTACTAATTAACATAGAAAATCAATATTTCTAGTTAATTAAATAAACAAAAGGAAAAATATATATTTACACTTGAACTAATAAATAATTGAGTAAAAACTTTAACTTAACTAAATTTTAATTTATAATAAACTAATTAAGAAATAAACTATTTAAAGGTATTTACGTCTTTGCAGTCAAATATTAACAAAAAAACAGAACTTGACGTCTTTTGGGTGGCCTTCCATCTCTACGAAACGAAAGAACTCAACGTCGCCAAGAACTCTGCAATCCTGAAAAATGTACTCGACGCGATCACAAATGCCTCTCCTTCTCGCCTGCGTCACGTGACTTTGCAAACGGGGACGAAACACTACATGGGTCTGATATTTGACCCATCGTTGGCTGGGAAACTCGTGCGTCATGAGCTGCCGTTTGTGGAGGACTCATCGCGCCTTCCATATCCGAACTTTTACTACGCTTTGGAAGACCTTGTGGCTTCGTATTCGCCAGCTTTAACGTTCTCTGTGCATCGTTCTTATTTTATTATTAGAGCTTCTTCAAGAAGTGTGCACAATATGCTGCTGTCATCGGCAGTTTATGCTTCCATTTGCAAGCACCAAAAGTTGCTGTTTCACAATCCAGGTAACAAAATGACCCATTTCACATAACAAGTTTTTGATCATACATATGTATGTTTGAAAATTTAGGGTTCAACTTTTGTTGGGAGGAATTTGTCAAAAGATAAAGTTTTTTTTTTTTTTTTTTTTTTGGGTTATGTTAAGGAAAAATTCTAACATTATCTATTCATTATGTGAAGTAATTAAATTATTTAAAAAACATTCTCCATTTATATATAATTCACTTTTTTTTTTCTTTTAAATTTTCATCTGTAAACTAAAAGCTAGAAATAGTCTTTGGTTCATATGCAATCAAACTTCTGGATATCCACATCGCAACTGTTTAGAAGTGAGACTTCGAGTTTTAAAAGAAAGCTCTAACTTCGTGTAACAACACACCATGTGAAGTGGACAATGCACAATAATAGTTAGTTTTAGTTTGCATATTAGCAGGGCCGTCTCTAGAACATTTGTGACCCTAGGCAGGAGTTACTTTGGGGCTCTAATAATATAAGCATATATTAAAAAAATTATTTCAATTTTTTTTTTTTTGAGATGAAAAATCACTAGGAGAGGTGGACAACAATCGGTAGCCTAACAAGGTTAGGTTGGTGGGGGGTTTTGGAGAGTAGATGTTGGAGAAGTGATGGGTGGTGAAATGGGTGATTTCCAATGCCAAGATTGATAAGAAAATGCTTGAAAAGTCATGGCCCAAAAGATATCGATGGCCGACGATTGGTAGAGTAAACGGATAAGGTATGATAGGGGTTTTGGTGAGAGGGCTAAGGGGAGGAAGATGGTGGTGTCGGGGAAGGCCAACAATGTCGGGTACATGCCAAAAAGGCTGTAAATGTTTGTCGTGTGGTGGAGTTGGGTTGTGAGATTCATCAAAAATTTGTCAAATCGAGGGCTATCAAGGTTGGGAAATGATAAAATGATGATTTCGGTCGATTTTGGTGAGAAAATCGACCGGAACCAAAATTGACCGAAATCAACTCCAAACCACTGGTAGCAGAAGAGGGCTGAAGATGATTTATGTGAATGTCAAATTTTGGGATTGAATTGGGGGTGAGTAATTTGAGATATGGAAATGACTATTTTAGTCTTCCATTGTTAAAAGAGATTCAATGTGTTAATTTAGGGGTATAAACTATAATATATAAAACTAGAGGTACAAACTTGCTAGTTTGTTAAACTTTGGGTGGGAATAAATGTAAAAAGTTTATAATAAATTTGGGCTTTTTTGGCTTTTTTTTTGGGAGCCTCTTGGCTNAGCTTGTTGGCTCTCTACAAGCCAATGAGCAAAGGGTTGTAGGAAGAATGGAGGGAAGCACAGAAGGGGCATTTCAGGCCAAGCAACGACAGAAATGGGATGTTGATGATAAGGAGGGAAAGACAAATCATGCTGAAAAGGACTATTGGGTGAAAAACAAGTCTAAGATTCAGGGTTTTAAGTGCAAGGGACACGGTTACATGGCCAAAGATTGTCATAAGCCGATGGTCAGTCAGTGACATGCACAGCAGGATGTCGAGGAGGCTAACGTGGCCTAGGAGGAATGTGGAGAGAACATGTTCATGGTCACATGTAGAAGACAAGATAAGTCAGATTGGCTTACAAGCAATAGGTGTACGAGTCATATGACTTTTGATTCAACATTTTTTGACGATTTGGATACCACGAATAGACCTCTCATCACCATTAGGAGTGGTGAAGAACTGCAAGCAGAAAGTAGGAGGACCATAGTTGTTTAAACTAACTAGGGAAAGAGGGTGATCAGGAACATACTGTATGTGCCAGGGATTGATCAAAATCTATTGAGTGTTGCATAGATGATGAGGAACAAGTATACACTAATTTTCAAGGATAAATCTTGTACCATTCTTGATCAAATGGAAAGGGTGCTTGTTAAGGTTGCCGAGGTAAACAACAGTTTTCCCATGTTATTAAATTTGGCCTGAGAAACTGCATTCGTGGGTAGAGTAGATGTTGCTAAATTGTGGCATAGGCGTTTTAGGCATTGTGATGTGAGGAAATTACATCATATGAGTGAAGAAAAATTGGTGTTGGGTTTGCCGTGTTGAAGGCTAGTGGAGTGATTAATGAGTCATAAGCATTGGCTAAGGAAACTTCTATGAAGCTGGATGAATCATTTTTTGAGGAGTCTGATGCTAACCAATTGTCTTATGAAAAACCAAGTAATATGACCAAAAAAAAGCATTTGTGAACCTTGTCAGCTTGGAAAGATGAAGCAGAAGTCATTTCCTAAAAACAAAGCTCAAAGAGCAANTTATGGGATATTGTCTATGATGGTTACAAAGAATTGGAAGATGATGTCGAGTACAGAAGTGCACAAAAGAAGGAGAACGAGAAAAAATCTCAAGAAAATTCAAGAGCTCTTGCCTTTATCCAAAGCAGGGTGAACAAGGCCATATTCTTAAGAATTCTAATTGACGAAGAAGCCAAAACAGTTTGGGAGGTGCTTCAACTTGAATTTGAAGAGTCAGATAAGGTGAAATCAACCAAGTTGGTGACTTCAAGGAGGGAGTTTGAGAGGTTAAGGATGTAGGAGACTGATAGTGTGAAGGAATATGTCGACAAAGTCTAAGAACTTCTGTGTCAGATGAAGATTCATGGTGAGGAGTATCCAAAGAAGCAAGTAAAGCTAAAAATACTTGCAAGGTTACCTCCCAGATTCGATTCGAAGGTGGATGCTATTGAAGAATCCAAAGATTTGGACACTCTAACCATCAATGAGATTGTTGGCTCTCTACAAGCCAATGAGCAAAGGGTTGTAGGAAGAATGGAGGGAAGCACAGAAGGTGCGTTTCAGGCCAAGCAACGACATAAATGGGATGCTGATGATAAGGAGGGAAAGACAAATCATGTTGAAAAGGACTGTTGGGTGAAAAACAAGTATAAGATTCAGGGTTTTAAGTGCAAGGGACACGGTCACATGGCCAAAAATTGTCATAAGCCGATGGTCAGTCAGTGAGATGCACAGCAGGATGTTGAGGAGGCTAACGTGGCCTAGGAGGAACGTGGAGAGAACATGTTCATGGTCACATGTAGAAGACAAGATAGGTCAGATTGGCTTACAAGCAACAGGTGTACGAGTCATATGACTTTTGATTCAACATTTTTTGACGATTTGGATACCACGAATAGACCTCTCATCACCATTGGGAGTGGTGAAGAACTGCAAGCAGAAAGTAGGAGGACCATAGTTGTTTAAACTAACCAGGGAAAGAGGTGATCAGGAACATACTGTATGTGCTAGGGATTGATCAAAATCTATTGAGTGTTGCATAGATGATGAGGAATAGGTATACACTGATTTTCAAGGATAAATCTTGTACCATTCTTGATCAAATGGAAAGGGTGCTTGTTAAGGTTGCCGAGGTAAACAACAGTTTTCCCATGTCATTAAATTTGGCCTGAGAAACTGCATTCGTGGGTAGAGTAGATGTTGCTAAATTGTGGCATAGGCATTTTGGGCATTGTGATGTGAGGAAATTACATCATATGAATGAAGAAAAATTGGTGTTGGGTTTGCCAGTGTTGAAGGCTAGTGGAGTGATTAATGAGTCAGATGCATTGGCTAAGGAAACTTCTACGAAGCTGGATGAATCATTTTTTGAGGAGCCTGATGCTAACCAATTTTCTTATGAAAAGCCAAGTAATATGACCAAAAAAAAGCATTTGTGAACCTTGTCAGCTTGGAAAGATGAAGCAGAAGTCATTTCCTAAAAACAAAGCTTGAAGAGCAAGTGAAGAGCTTGGGCTTATGCACTGTGATTTGTGTGGACCCATGAGAACAACATCCTTGAATAATAATCGCTATTTTCTTTTGTTTATTAATGACTATTCTAGGATGTGCTGGGTATACTTTCTAAGCCAGAAGAATTAAGTGTTCGAAGTCTTCAAGAAGTTCAAGGTGTTGGTTGAAACTCGACTGGGTGCACTTTGAAGAAGATTAGTTCAGATAATGGTCAAGAATATAGAAATTTTGAGTTCAACAAGTTCTGTGATGAATTTGGGATGGAGCATCAGCTCATGGTGTCATATACTTTGCAGCAAAACGGGGTGGCTGAGAGAAAGAATCAGACTATCATGGAGATGGCTAGGTGTATATTGCTAGAAAAGAATATGCGAAAGTCCTATTAGACAGAGGCAGTGAACACAAGAATTTTCCTAAAAATTAGCCTGTCAACAGTAGCTATCAAAGGGAAGACACCATATGAAGCATGGCATGATGAAAAGGCTTCAGTCCAAGATCTGAAGGTATTTGGTTCTATGTGCTATTATCACATTCCAGATGAGAAGAGAGATAAACTAAGTCAGAAGGCAGATAAGGGTATACTTGTTGGTTACAGTGATCATAGCAAAGCTTATTGGGTACATAATCCTCAGGAAAACAAATTAATTGTGAGTTGCGATGTGACAGTAGTTGAAGATGAAACATGGTCTTAGGATAAACAAGGTTCAGTAAAGCGGGAACCATATAACTATTGGTTGGAAGAACTATGTCCAGCTCATGAATTTGAAGCTGAAGAAGAACCAGGAGAACAAGTGCCAGATACACAGAATGATTTTGACCAGGAAAATGAAGATCATCCTCTTCTAAGGTACGAATCAATTGCTAAAATTTATAAAAAGAAGTTTAGTGATGTTTGAAGGCCTACCACCTTTGAAGATGGGGCTCAGGACAAAGAATGGCAGCAAGCTATGTTAAAGGAGATGAGGATGACTGAGAAAAATGGCACATGGGAGCTAATGGATAGGCCAATCCATAAAAAGCCAATTGTTGTCAAGTGGGTCTTCAAAAATAAAGAAGAACACAGAAGAATGGTATTGATTTTTCAGAAACCTTTGTGCCTGTTGCACGGTTGGATACAATAAGGCTGCTACAAAAGGGTGGTTAATTCATTAGCTAGATGTGAAGTCAATCTTCCTGAATGACTATCTTGAGGGAGAAATTTTTGTTGAGTAATCGGAGGGGTTTGAGGGGGTTGGGCAAGAAGAAAAAGTTTACGAGCTTACTAAAGCTTTTTATGGGCTTAAGCAAGTACCACAGGCTTGGTACAGTTGAATTGATTCCTATTTAACTGGAAAACACTTCAAGAGGAGCAAGATGATACAACACTTTATGTCTTTAAGCAAGAAAATGGAGCAAAACTGATTGTGTCACTATACATCAATGACTTGCTAACCATAGGGGAAAATCTGGATGATATTATTTAGTTTAAGAAGGGGATGAACTCTGAATTCGAGATGACCGATCTAGGAGATATGCATTATTTTCTTGGCATAGAAATTTCTCAATTATCAACTAGGATATTTATTTGTCAAGAGAGATATGTGCAGGATTTATTGAAGAAATTCAAAATGGAGTTGTGTAATTTGGTTCCAACTCCTATGGTTCACAATGAAAAGTTTAGTAAGAATGATAGGTCGAAGCCAGTTAATTTATCCATTTATCAAAGCATTGTGGGAAGTCTCCTATATCTTACAACGACTCGGCCATACATCATGTTTGCTACTAGCATATTATCACGGGTCATGCATTGTCCTAGTCAGATTCATCTAGGTGCAGCAAAAAGAATAATGAGATATTTAAAGGGGACAATGAAGCTTAGCATTTGGTTTAACAAGCTTGGTAATTTTAAACTTCAAGGTTATATGGATAGTGATTGAGGTGGAAGAATTGATGACATGAAGAGTACTAGGGGTTACTGTTTTAGCCTGGGAACTGGGGGTTTTGTTGCATCGAAGAAACAAGACATTGTGACTCAATCAACATGTGAAGCAGAGTACGTAGCTGCTACTAGTGCAACCAATCAAGTGGCATGGATTAGAAAGGTTCTCTCTGATTTGGGACAAGAACAAGATGATCCCACAATTATCTATTGTGATAATCAATCTGTTGTGAAGATCACAAATAATCCAATGAATCATGGAAAGACGAAGCACATAAGAATCAAGTATCATGTTGTGCGAGAAGCGGAGAGCAACAATGAAATTCATCTAGTTCATTGTGACGGGGAAGAGCAACTTGCTGATGTTTTCACTAAGGCTTTACCCCGAAACATGTTTGAATACTTGGGAAATAAGTTGGCAGTTAAAACCCAAAAGTCTCAAGAAGGAGTGTTAAGAAGTGAGACTTCGAGTTTTAAAAGAAAGCTTTAACTTCATCTAACAACACACTGTGTGAAGTGGACAATGGACAATAATAGCTGGTTTTAGTTTGCATATTAGCTAGATAAGTGCTAATCATGTGTTGCAATTTTTTAGGATAATGGATGTTTATCTTTTTGTTTCTTGCTAGTGTTAGCTAAATAGTATCCAGAGTAGGTAACGTAAAGTGTATTCTTGTTTTGTTTTCTCCTATATAATGAAGCTTTTTTGTTATGAATAAATATATTAGTTTTTCATCTGTCATTCTCTGAAAAACTTGAACAACTAAACCAAAAATTTGATTAAGGACCTCTTTCCTTTTGGCCCAATACAAGCTCTCTAACCACCAAAGTAGTTATACTCCGAGGTCTTGTGCTCGAGTCACGAGAAAGCAATCATTGGGTTTATCTCCCCCCCCCCCCCCCCCAAAAAAAAAAAAAGAAAAAAAAATTTGAATGAGGAGGAACACTTTAAAGTAGCGACAAAAGTTAAGTAGAATTTTCAAGGAAAAATGTAATTAAATATAAAAGTTGCTATATTATAAATGATTATTTAAAAACTCCATGTAAATTTTTCTGTTAAGTTCCCATAATAATAAAAAAGTTACACGCATGTACTTTTTTTGGTCGATGGACATATAATTGATATTCTTATATCCTTAATTGTTTTAAAAAATATGGTTTAATTATGAAGGAACAAAACACTAATTAAAACAACCAAAATTATTTTGTTTAACATGTAAGCTTTATCGCTTTCAATTTAAGAAAAATTATAAGATTTAGTTAAATAAAGAAAATTATCTAAAATTACAAGATGGGAAGCCTATCCAAATCCTGCTCCACTATATATAGTCAATTTTTGTGTTCAGATGTTTTGAAATGGGTATTAAAAATTTCAAGAGGTTTGCATCTAAGAATTTTCGTATTGATAAACTAATCTACTATTTGTTTTTATTTTTATATCTATGAACTCGATACACATTGGAGCACTTCTGTGATATGACTGACGCAAGTGTATTGGCACAACAACAAACATGGGCAGCTTTATCTGATAAGGCTAAGAATCAAGCATTCAATTGCACCAATGGAGATGTTTTTACATGGAAAAGCTTATGGAAAGTGTTGTGTGAATTGTTTGAGGTCAAGTTTGTGGAGTTTGATGATGAAATTGCAGAAGGGTTTGATTTGGTGGAGATGATGAAGGAGAAGGGAGGAGTTTGGGATGAGATTGTGGAGAAACAAGGGCTTTTTAACACCAAATTGGAGGAGATAATTCGCTTTGATGCTTTCAAAATTGTGTTGAATTTTGATTTTCAACACATTTGTAGCATGAACAAGAGTAGAGAATTTGGGTTTCATGGCTATGTTGATTCACTCAAGAGTATTAAAATGTGGGTGGACAGATTGAGAGGCACGAAAATTATACCATGAAAGCAAGAATATTATTTGGGGGCAACTGATATGATACATTTGTAGAATATATACTCTATAATAAACGGATGAATTCATGACGTGGGACACACATCATCTATGGATTTTGATCCTTTGTTCATTTAATTTTATTTAATTTTTGAAGCATCTAAAATTATATGACAATTTTATTATTCATCACTATGATTAATTCTTTTAATTCTTTTTCTTTTTTTACCACCAAAAAATATTTTTTTTAACTTCATTTTTTTATTAATTTAAATACTGTAAAAAGTTGTCTAATATGAATTAAAAATAAGTTTTTGAGAAAATTAACCTCATTACCTCGGCAACTAAACAGGCAAGAAACAGTTGAAAAGAGTGAATACCTTAGAATTCAAAGGTTGAAGTTGAAGAGAAGAGCGAGGGTGAGTTTGTGTTACAGAGGTTAGGCCTTTTTTGCACTAGTTTGGCTTGTGTAAGGCCTCGGAACTAATTATTCAAAACCTTGATCGTGCTCCCTTAGATGATGATCCACCGGCTCCTAGTTAACAATATGTGGCAAGTAGGGTAGTAAGCTTTTCTGATAGATGTTGAAATCAGCCCTTTGGGGTGTGCTTAGACAATACAAATCCCGTACATGCATTTGAAAAAATGAGTGAAATCAAATTAATGAGAAATCACACAACTCAACGCCACCTCCTTCCTTGGATTTTTTTTCTTTTTTCTTTTTTCTTTTTTAAGATTTTCATGGAAACAGGGGTTATAGTTCAACAATCAAGTTAATGGCGAACTTACTTTTAATTTGCCCTTTTTTTAACTCCTGTAATTTCTTCTTTTGGGTTTGGGATAAAACTTACAACATCATTATGAGAAGTATTGAGCTAGCTAATATTGATTAACTCATTTAAGAGGTTTGCATTTTCTTATAATTAAATAATTGTATGAACCGCAACAGCAAAGAAATAACTGTTTATTTTCCAATAAGTAATCCTGCATGTTTCACATTTTCTTCAAGTCTTGATTGGAAAAACTATAACAAGAAATGGGACCACGGGGCCCTTGTAAATTAACATTTCACATTTTCATTTTTAAAAAAAAAAAATAATAATTTGAGGATAGGCCCTGCCCTCAAAGGGCCTGGGTCAGCCCACGGTTGTCATGCATGTGACAAAGTTAATTATCATTCAGTTTGTTTGGACTATACTATGCACAAAAATTTCATATTATTTAGTACTTTTAAAACCAAAAAAAAAAAAAAAAATTTATATCAGACTAAACACATGGTGTAATTATGGTCTAGGCATATTTACAATATTTCTTTCTATTACATATCTAACTTGTTATAATTTTTTTTAATGACTATGAGTGTTCGGACTAGCTAGTTTATGCACACCTCAACTAATCACTCAAGACTCTGAAACTATCTGTCAAATAAGAAATCTAATGACTACCCCCATTAGTTATAGTGGACGGACTCGAACTCATATTCTCTTAAGTAATACACCTAAAATCTCTATTGAACCACTCGACCACTAAAATGTAGTTTTGTTATAATATTTATTAATTAATTTTAAAATATACACACATGACATCATATTATCGAACATACAAGAGAGATTGTCCGATGATAATCACATGCAGAGTGGGTAATTGTATATAAGTATGACCATTACAGGAATTCCTTTTTCATGAGAAAAAATCTTAGAATGTTATTATAACTATGAAGATATCACATCTCCTATACAACACGACAATGCATTTATTTTTAGGGTTTAGGGTTAATGTAATTACTAGTTATAATATAATTTAACTGAAAAATTATCATTTATTTATCTATTGTTGTGATATCTCCATTGTATTATAAATAAAAAAAAGTTGGTGCTATTAATACGAGAGTTGTTGTATCATGTATGTACTATCTTTAGATAACAAATTATTAATTGTTGATACGAAAATTCGCACCAACCAAAGAGATCCGATTGACCTTGGTGGAATCAGAACGGATGTGGGCATGATTACGGATACTCAGTGATGGGTGAATGACAAGTGCAATAAAGTAAAAGATAATAAGATTTTTAAAGTGGTTCGGCAAAGTAACCTCTTATGCCTACATCCACTATCCTTGTATCTGTTATGAGAGCTTACAATAAGAGTTCTATGAAAAATTTCCTACCCCTTTTTCATCATTTGAGAGGGTTTATATAAGGGATTACAATTGATCTAAGCTGTAATTCCGATATTCTCGTGATTAGGCGCTGTGATTGCGCAGAGATTGCTGTTAATCTGGTCATTCCCATAATATCTAGGATCTAAACTTATATGGGAATTGATTAAATGACCATTCGGGTTGTTTGACGACAAGCTATATGTCAACGAGCTTATGTTAGGTCGGACAACCGATAGAGTCTGACTAATTCTAGGTCAATCTAATACCTCGCCACTCACCTAGCTTGATGAAAAAATCACACACAACATTTGCCCCTTATGTTCGATGCTCATTTCAGGCTTCGAAGACTATTGCTTGATTTCATATCAAGCTTGGCACTACCAGCAGGTCACCGGATACAGGTTCAGTCGAGGTTCAAGGGTCGACCTCATGCCCGGTCGATGTGCTTCATACTTGGATTTTCATTTCCTATGGTACCTGACAAAACTCAGAAAATGAAGATTAGGGTAGATATGTAAATTCCATGCGATCGTGTCGTATTAAATGTGGCAGCCTTTGTCAGTTACACTTCGTCGCGCGTGGGCGACTTCAACTGTCCATGCACCAAGTTGAGTTTACATGTGATGACGATTATCATTGTAACAGTCTGACGGTTCATTGCCCCACGTGACCACGTCTAAGGGCTAAGATTGCTCAACAAATGAAGGGTTGAGATTTTTAGTAGATCGATGGCTACGATTAAACCCCGCCTTTTCGTCTTCCATGCAAACCACTATAAAAGGTTGTGAAGTCGTCAAAACACTCATTCAATCAACAAAAGTTTTATGACGCCTTTGTTCACTTTCCTGTTATTTCATCATCATCATGGTGCTCTTTCTGGCGAGTTTTTACACTTCTTTTGTTCTAGTAAGGTTCTCTTCCCTTTCTTTGTCCGTTTTTCAAATTTTCGCGTCAAAGGGTGGCCATTGTTGTGGCTACATTGAGTGTTAGTAGGGGTTTTGAGTGTGTCTTCAGTAGTCTTGGGTTTAAGAAAGGTTTAATGTGGTGGCTGTCAGAACTCTCGGTAGGTCGCGTGCATACGTCATGTGGCGTGAGCTATCTTGGGTACCTAAACTGAAAGCAAGTGTGAAATGATCACTAAGTTTTTTGAGCTCTGACTATGTTTGCTTCTATTTCAAGTACCCAGAAGTGAGTTATAATTATGTCTTCTTCCAACAGTCACATAACTGATTGCATGTTCGATTCGCCCGTGGGCTTAGTAGTCCTTGGGGATGCAACCCTTGAGGTCTCCAAGGAAACCATCGCACGAAGCTCAGACCCCAACGCAGTGGGCTCTTCTGACTGTGCCTTAATACAGTTGGCTTAATCTAGGTAGTCTCTAGTCCATAGGTTGCGAAGAGAACCATAATCCTCGATTACTATCGGGGATCTGGAGTGCATAAGAGTTGTCTATGCGCCACAACTTAATTTGATGGTTCTAGGGGACTCTTCTCAAAAGAATCCCCTGCTCGGATGGGTGACGATCTCTGAGACCCTCTTGAGATGCGGGGTATCCATTCCTCCTCATCGTTTCATCAGCAGCGTGTTAAGGCAGTTCAACATCATTCCTCTCCAACTGTTTGCAAATTCATATGTAATTATCATCTCTCTGTGCATAGTGTATATGATCGCTGAATTTGGCGAGTCATCTGTTGAGGAGCTTGTCCATCTGTATAGGCTCAAGCAACGGCAAGACTAGATGTACTACCTTTCCAAGGTGAGGAAGGTATGTTTCAATGAGCTAGTCGATGTCCCAAAGAAGGTCCCACATTCGGACACATAATTTTTCTTCTATGAAACTCGGGAGACTGACGCTTTCGCTTCATAAGCGAGTAAGACTTCGACTTTTCGTGCATGCAAGGATCACTTTTGAGCTTTGTGTTCTAGCTAATTGAGCTGCTTTGTTTATAATTAACGTCGAATAGAATTATTTCCCTACCGCAAGCTTGTAGAGGCTCCAATGTTTTAGCGACCTTCCCGATGGACAGCATAACGTTAATGAGATCATTACACTTCCTCACTTGAGAGCATACGGCTTCTGTTAGGACAATGCTAGGTTTCCTACCATTTTGGAGAAAGGTTAAGTTATCATTTACTCGCACTCTTTTTCCTACACAGATAGGTCGCTCATTGTTTGCTTTTTTTTTTTTTTTGGGAAAAATGTGGGCCGAGAAACCAAAAGGCCACAAGAAGAAGGCGGTAGCTTCAACAGCTGCCAAGAAGACATTGGCTACTTTGGCAACGAAGCAACCCACTAACGTTACTGGCATGAAACGCAGCGGTGGCGAGCTTGGGGAATGCCTAAGCGCGAAAAAGCTTGCGATTACCTCAAAGGTAGTTAGCGAGAAAAGTACCCCTGATCCCCAAAAGAAGTTGGTAAAGAAAACACCTGAGCTGACTAGAGGTTTAGGGAAGCAGAAGGCACTAGAGCAAGATGTTGGATCGGGTAAGAAGAAAATGATTGAGCCCCTAGAGGGCTTGAGCAAATAAAAGGTGGCCAAGCATCATGTTGGCTCGAGCCTAGAGGTCGCCATGTAGGCTGGCGACCTAAAAAAACCAACAACCAAGGATTTGACCGAGAAGAAGTTTGCTCTTGTGAGTGAGGCTGGCGTTAGAAGTAAGTTTAGCTCGTCTCAGCCAAAAAGCAAGAAAACGGATGAAGTAGCCCAAGTTGTAGTCGACGCGCTGACCGATCAACTCTCTGACCTTATTAGCATTAGGGTTGCAACGGCCAGGGACAACGCCACCCGCAAACATTCATGGCTGTTAGGGACGCAGCTCCTACTAATATGTTGCCCTTGGTGTGCAGCTA